ATAAACTTTAAAGATGTGAACACAGTTTATATAAACAGCCTCGTCCTGCATTAGAACAATATGTACTTTAAAACAACCGCAGTGCTGATAAAAGAGTTCCTACACATCCTGGAGAACCTGGGCATTTAGAAACATGTTTTTAGTCACCTGGAAATAATCTGTGTTTTAGTTCCTCAGATCTCCTATGGAAACCTTTGTTAGAGGAAAGCTGTAGCGAGCTGTAGTCGAGCTGGAAAAACCCTAAAACAAACAGACAGTTCAACATCATGAATGTCTTCCAGAAGATACCGACAGATAATGTGTCTCCACAGTTTAATTATTTATTAGAGACAAAAAAAGGAAGAAAAAAAGACGGATTTTAAAGCACAGATCAGTTTTAAGATTTTGGGTTAATTTGTCTCCTTTCAGAAATAAAAATCCACATTTTGTTTATTTCACCAACAGTTGGCTTTAGATAATCTGCATATTTAAACATTAAAGTTCAGAAACCTTGTCTCTGATTTATGGAGCGATGAAAAGAAACAAAACCAGAATGAAGAATCTGGTTTTATCAGATGTTCAAATTTCCTCCTGAAATGTATTAAAATGATCAATGTGAGGAATCAGCTGATATCTGATAATCTTTCATAATGATCTTTAAAGGCTCAGAAATCTCCGTTCAGCAGCTCCAACAGACACCAAAGGGGGGGAAGGAGGGGGAGGAGGACTGCACAAGGGCACTGAGAGTGTGTATTTTTAGTGATACAGGAGCTTTTTTCCTCTGATCGATAGAGGAGCAGAACAGATCACATGACCTGTCCACTAATGGCAGCCTGCTGTGTGTGTGTGTGTGTGTGTGTGTGTATGTGTGTGAGAGAGAGTTTGTGTGTGTGTGTGTGTGTGTGTGTGTGTGTGTGTGTGTGAGTGAGAGAGAGAGAGAGAGAGAGAGAGAGAGATTAATGGGTCAGTGAGAAAGACTCTCAAAGACAGAAAGTTTCAGCAGCAGTTATAAAAACATCCTGACTGGGTCCATTCAGAATTTATTGATAAATAATGAGAGTTCAGTTTTATTTGTAAAGCACTGATTTATTATAGAAGTTATCTCAGGACACTTTTCAAATAGAGCAGGTCTAGACCGAACTCTTTATAACATTAATTACAGAGACCCAACAGTACCACCATGAGCAAGACCTTGCGAGACAAGGGCAAGGAAAAACTGCCTGTTAAAAGGCAGAAACCTAGGACAGATCCTCCGGCTCTAGGTGGGTGGTCGTCTGTCTCGACCAGTTGGGGTGAGAGAGAGAGAGGCAGAGAGAGAGAAGAGCGAGAGACAGACAGACAGGTGCACAGCAACAACAGTATTGGCAATGGCAATCTAGCAGGACCATGGCAGGAGGCTCCACCAGGATCCATCAAGAACCTGCGAGACGAGAAAGCACAAGAACTCCGGGGAAGAAGTGAAGTTAGTAACATGCATTAATGGAACATGAATGAGTGCAGAAAGAGAGAGGAAGAGAGGAGCTCAGTGCACCATGGGAAATCCCCCGATAGTCTAGGCCTATAGCAGCATAACTAAGGGATGGTTCAGGACTCACCTGATCCAGCCCTAACTATAAGCTTTATCAAAGAGGAATGTCTTAAGCCTACTCTTGAATGTGGTGAGGGTGTCTGCCTCCCGAACCACAACTGGAAGCTGGTTCCACAGGAGAGGAGCTTGGTAACTGAAGGCTCTGGCTCCTGTTCTACTTTTAGAGACTATAGGAACCACAAGTAGCCCAGCATTCAGAGAACGTAGTGTTCTAGAGGGGTAATAGGGTACTATGAGCTCTTTAAGATATGAAGGGGACTGACCATGAAGAGCTTTGTAGGAGCGGGAGGCACTAGAGTAGAGAAATTCACTTTAAAAACAATAACAGAATAATAACTAACAATAACTAACAATAACTGATAATAACTAATAATAACTGATAATAACTAACAATAACTGATAACTAATAATAACTGATAATAACTAATAATAACTGATAATAACTGATAATAATTGATAATAACTAATAATAACTGATAATAACTAACAATAACTGATAATAACTAATAATAACTAACAATAACTAATAACAAACTGACAATAACTGATAATAACTAACAATAACTGATAATAACTAATAATAACTAATAATAAATAACAATAACTAATAATAACTGACAATACATAATAACTAATAATAACTAACATGAACTAATACTAACAAGAACTATAATAACTAACAATAACTAACATGAACTAATAACTAACAATAACTGATAATAACTAACAATAACTAACATGAACTAATAACTAACAATAACTGATAATAACTAACAATAACTGATAATAACTAATAATAACTAACAATAACTAATAATAACTGACAATAACTGATAATACCTAACAATAACTGATAATAACTAATAATAACTAATAATAACTAACAATAACTAATAATAACTGACAATAACTGATAATAACTAACAATAACTAACATGAACTAATAACTAACAATAACTGATAATAGCTAATAATAACTGACAATAACTAACAATAACTGATAATAACTAATAATAACTAACAATAACTGATAACTGATAATAACTAATAATAACTGACAATAACTGATAATAACTAACAATAACTAACAATAACTGATAATAACTAATAATAACTGATAATAACTAATAATAACTAACAATAACTGATAACTGACAATAACTAATAATAACTAACAATAACTAATAATAACTGACAATAACTGATAATAACTAACAATAACTAACATGAACTAATAACTAACAATAACTGATAATAACTAATAATAACTGATAATAACTGATAACTGATAAATCATTTATTGTTGGCTATAATCAGCATTACATTCATAAGTTAATATGGATAACGTTAGTTTGGGAAGCTAATCAAATGATAGCATAGCAAGCTATTGTTTTCTTATATACATTATATATAAATATTTGGGGGTCGATTGTTGGTTCTTCCTCACTCTCTTCATCAGCGTGATGTTTAAAGAAACTAAAGTTCAAATCAAATTCCAGTGTGACTGTAAAGGTTTGGTCAGATATTTATTTTATTTTAATAAATCAGTATTATTCAATATCTTCATATCAGGAAGAGAAAGACTCAGAATTATCATTTAAAGGTTTTTTACTTTGTCAGAGGAAAGAATTAATGAAACGTATGAGCTCCTTTCACATTTATTAAACACTTTCTTTATTTGTTGTAAGTTGTTGTATTTGTTTCTACAGATTAAATGAGACATAATATCACAACTGATTCAATAAAAGCACTATATATATATATATATATATATATATATATATATATATTCCACATTATCTTGTGGCTATCTCTAGCCAATGATCAGCTGCTTCTACAACCTCACACACGTTACTGTTTGTTTACCCATTCTTTTGGTTCTTATTAAAGAATGTGACTCTTTTATAAATCATATTAAATTATAACAAGAGTGTCCTCGGCCACAGTGCCACCATGTGGTACGCCAGCCTCACTGCAGAGCACCACAAAGAAACTGTCTGTCTCTGTCTGTCTCTCTCTCTGTGTCTGTGTGAAATTTTATTTCACACATTTTATTTCCCCCCCTCCCCACACAAACACACACACACATTTACTGAGAGACAGTCAGTGCCCACCTGCTCACCCAGCTGCTTCAATCTTTATATTCTATATTCATTTTTATATTTATGATTTATATTGATGCTGCTGACAGTGATCAAACTACATGTTGTGACACAGTGTCTCTCCACCAACCAGAGCACTGCTGCCCCCTGCAGGACCGTCCTCTGCCCTACAACCAGAGTGCTGCTGCCCCCTGCAGGACTGTCCTCTGCCCTACAACCAGAGTGCTGCTGCCCCCTGCTGGACTGTCCTCTGCCCTACAACCAGAGCACAGACTGAACATCACATTGTGGAGGAGGAGGAGGACGTCTGCAGGGAACAAAGGTTTAATGACAGGTTGGATACCTTTTATTAACAAAACATTCATAATATTATTACTGTTATCTAAAGCAGTGGCTCCCAACCACCACATATTGGGAATATTATGGGATGGATTCACACCAACTTATTTTATTATTACATCAGACAGTTTTTCAGTATCAGGAGTGAAAATGAGTCATCCTCAACATTAGTGGTGTTCAGAATGATGAAGATTATTAGATCTAACCAGGCTCAACAGGAGTAGCTCCCAACCTGTTCCATCATCAATACACTGACTGTATATTTCTTATTGATCAATAACAGCAGAGAACAGCTGATCAACTGATCAATGAACACAAACAGTGAACTCAATAACTGCAGTTTGATTATTTCCTGTGAATATTGATCACAGATGAGTTTTCCTGATATATTGATACATTCTCTGTGTTCTCGATCCACCATCAGGTTTCATAAAACTGTCGATATTCACAATCTATAAAGTTGATTTCTCATTTAAATATTCTCAAAAGTGAAGCAGTGCATTATGGGTCAGCTGAGTATGTGCAGTAATCTCATGGCGTATACTCGGATATTCCTATAATCTAGTTTCCAGATATTCATAGACTGTACAGCTCAAACACTACAGACTCAATCTAAGCTGAGTTGAAACGTTGGTGATTTCCATTCTCAGTGCATGGATGAGTCGTATCAGTGCAGCAACAAACACTGCGTTCTGACTGGAGAGACTTTAATAAACTAAATATATTCATCAGTGATGTTACTCGCTGTAAAAAAGTAGTAGTTCAACTCAAACGTCTTAAGGAAACTGATCACGTTAAAAACGTTTAAGTTTATTAAACAATTTAAACATGAACAATATTTTATCTGAGTAACTCGGGTATTTATTACTGAAGGTAGTTACT